ATAAGGATGGTAAAAATTCTTGGCACATGAATGTCATTCCTAACCCAAGAGACTTGACAAAGTCTCCAACACAAATTAACTGCAAAAGCTTAATGTCACATGACTCCCGTTTTGTTGACCATACAAAAAAGAGGAATTTATATAGATATTAAATTTTATGTGTATATATATTAATCAACACCTCTTGTTACACCTGTGTAGATTAAACTGGTCAAATGAAAACCAAAGACTAATTTAACAATATTGAATGAGACTATCATGAACCAACTTATGAGGTCAAACCCAAGCCTCTATGGCATAAATAGTGTAAAGGCAAAAGTGATACCACAAGCTGCTGTCAACATAGCTAAGCACCAGTGGAGGCTGGGAATACTTTACATATGAAGACAAACCAAAGATAACAGGGTCTGACTGACTGACTCCCCAAAATGACAAACCTCAACTCATTCCCATAAATATGGACTCCTTGGCTAAAACAATTTTATCCCTGCTGTCATTTTGTTGGAGTGTTGGTGTGGTGCTGTAGGATAAGCACTGGACTGCTAAGCACCAGGTCAGTGGTTCAAACCCACAAACCACTCCTCAGAATCCTGATACAGCATCGCTATAAGTCAGAATCAACTCCATGGCACTTAACAACATCACAACAACAACATTATTTTGCTATGGGATGCATAGTGGCCCTGTAGGATAAGCACTAGACTGTGAACCACAAAGTCAGAGGTTCAAGTACACCAGCTGCTCTGCAGAACAAAGATGAGGCTTTCTGCAGCCTCAAAGATATGCAGCCTCAGAAACCCTATGTTGTTGCTGTTGTTGTTGAGTGCCATCGAGTCAGGTCTGGCTCATAGCAACCCTGTATAGGGCTTCTGAGGAGTGGCTGGTGAGTTTGAACCGCCAACCCTACGATTCAAACCAACCTTGCAGTCCAGTGCATTAACCCACAACACCACACCAGGAAGCCCTATACAGGGTTGCTATTCACTGTGAGTTAGAACCAACCTAAAGGCACTTAACAACAACAACAACAATTACTTTGGTATGGCAATGTGTGAAGATGGTTTGTGAATATGATGGCCAGGTGAGAAAGCTGCTAAATTCTACTCATGACTTCCTCCAGTTTCTGGAACAGGAAACCTCTCCCCACCCCAAGCCTGTGCTGTTTCCCCTACCTCATGCACACATTTGCAGAGCTAAAGAAAACTAGTACCATTTGCTGTTACGTGACTCACACTCTTGGTGATCCCATGTGAGTCAGAGAAGAACTGTGCCTCATGCTGATTTATTGACAGTAGGTTGCCAGGCCTTTCTTCCAAGGCACCTCTGGATATACACAATCCACTCACCTTTTGGTTAGAGCAGATCAGTTAACTATACCATGCAGGGATTCTTTCTTCCTTACCATCTCATCTTAAACATAATTTCTTAAGGAAGCCTTCCCTGACCACCCATACCTTGCTCTAATCTCTCCTTACACTTGGAATTTCATTGTTGGACTTCTCACAATTGTAATAAATATATTTGCTTAATGTTTCTCTTCTTTGCCAGACTGTACTACCTGAGGACGAGGACTGGCTCTGATTTTACCCACCTTTCTGTCCCACCTCCCACCACACAGTACACAATTAGTAAAGGCTCAATACACCTCTGTTAAATGAGTAAGCAAATGACCAGGGTTTCAAGGAGACTTAGAAAAATTTCAGTAGGGTCATTCACTCAGAATTCCTGCCACTTTCTGTGGTATTTCTTGAGTCCGTTATTCTTGGAATGACAACAACTATGTAGTGAGATCAAAGTTTTGAGAACATCAGGTTTCATACTCCAGATAGAAGAGTTTGGGATTATGTATCATTTTGAGACAGTTCATTCATTTTTTTCACTGGGTACTTTACTAAGCACCTAGTGTGGCGCTGTGGGTTAGTTAATGCGTCAGACTGCAAAGCCATTTGAACTGCAAGGTCAGTGGTTCAAGCTCATCAGCTGCTCCGCAGAAACCCTACCCAGGGTAGCTATGGGTCAGAACCGACTTGACAGCATTTAACAACAACAACAACTATGTGGCAAACACTAGGAATAGATATCAAAGTGAAGAATAATTGGCCTACTCCTTGCCTTTATTGAGTTTATTAGCTAGTGAAGGAAGCAGACTTGAATAGAACATTCAAATCTACACACAATGTAAAATTCTAACTGAGTCAAATGCTAAGAAGTGCTCTGATCCTCACAGCAGGGATTTTCCCACATCAGAGAGTGTCTTAGTTGTGGAAGATGGCGCTGCCTGAGCGCTGATCTAAAAGATAAGTAAGAATGGTTGGTGGCTGTTGGAGTCAGTTCGTTTCCAACTCATAACAACCCTGTATAAGGTGTCCAAGAAGCGTCAGGTGAGCTTGAACTGTTGACCTTGTGGCTCAAACTGGCTTTGTAGTCCAGTGCATTAACCCACAGGGCCACACCAGGACTAGACAGACCAAAAGAGTGCAGTCTCAGAAGACAATTCTCCAGAAGTCTTATGATCAGAGGAGTGACTGGTAGGTTTGAACCACAGACCTTGTGGTTAATAGTCCAATGCTTAGCCTGCAGCACCACACCAGCATGAACTAAAAAGTATTGGGCAGTACTGGGAGACAATTTTCCACAGGTCTTCTGAGCAGAGACACTGACTGCCTTTGTCTTAGACTACCTTCTCAGTGATGTGCATATAGCATACAGCCTTGAAAGATACAAAGAAAAGTTTGTTTCCTGTCCAGAATAATAAAGGTAAGGCCTCCCTCCAAGGCAAAGAGAAGGGAGCCTTACTGTTCAACATTAAAAATTTGAATTCCTCAGACGGAGGGTTCCTCTGCTGTGAAACAACCGTTGTGTGCAGCATCCCTCTGGGCTGTTCCATCATGACCCCTGTGAGACATGGAGACCAAGAGGAACTGAACGGAGGAGAACATGAAGCTCAAGCTGAGTGCTGTGCATGAGTCATAAAAGTCCTTTATCTTTGACCTAGGAATATCCTGTCTTGTCCCAGCATCCAGGAAACAGTGGCCAGCTATCTCATTGGCTCTGTTGTTGCTATTTAGTGCCTTCAAGTCAATTTCAATTCATAGCGACCCTGCTATATACAGGAGCCACTGGTGGATTTGAATTGCTGACTTTGCAGTTCAAATTGATCTTGTGGTCCAGTGTAGGGTAAAATCTCAGACCCTTCATAGTTACAGATAGGCAAGTAGATGACACAAACAAAGAAATGCCAGGATGGCTGAGATGTAGGGAGTAAGCGGGGCGTGGTATGAGATGAGGCTGGGAGGTTGTGAGCCACAGAATCCTTGGCCAGTCCTACTGAAGCAGGCCTGGGGGTATCTTGGCCATTTATTGTGACAATGCTGCCTCCAAGTGAGAACATGTGGTGTCAATAAACTGAGCTGGAGAAACACAGGAAAACTAGGTTTGGGCCAATTGGGACCTATGAGACAATTTTAACAAAGGAAGAGAGTAAAAACAGGAGAAGCTTTCTTAACATCCTACACTCTATTATAAAAACTTTTTTGCATATATGATACTTTGCAATACTTGAATTAGAGATTAGAGGAAGTCCTCCTCTCAGTGTCCCAGATGAACAAGGAAAAATTATCTCTAACTATCATTGTTATCAATCACCTTGGGTGCAAAAGGAGGCAGTCACCTGAAAAAAAAAGATGTGCTGACCCTTAATCCTTATGGATGAATGTCTTTTATCCTCTCCTCTTACAATGAAAGGGAGAACGGTTTCAGTTTTGGAAGAAGGGAGGCCAAGAAGGTGAAGGAGAAAGGAAAGAGACCTTACCAAGAGAGGGCTGTGGAGGCAGAGTGAATAACTTATGATTATTACCTAATGTTATTGCAAAAATATAGGGACTTTGTTGAGAAGCACTCTGACCCATTCTAGCTCTTGGAGTTCTGATCATTTCACTTGCTGCCTATTAATTACTTTATAGTCTTCAAAGAATGGAATTGTCCTGGATCTTTGACCAAAAATGTACCAACAAACAGAGGCCAAACCATACAGGGCCTTAAGAAGTTGTGTTCTTGTCCTAAGAATGATGAGAGGCACTGAAGGATTTGAAGAGGGTGAGCACATTAGATTTGGGTTTCAAGTCTCCCAGGAGAAGTCCAGAAATATCTTTAAGGGAGATCAAGTACGGACTGCATTCATTCCCAGGGACTTCAAACCTTGTAAAGCCCCCTCATTCTTCAATCTGGCATTTCCAATAAGAGACAGAACAGTGTCCTGTGGGAATTTCCCAGTCCTCACCCCACTTCTCTGTAAAATACTGGGCACATAAACTGCTCAGATGAGGGGCACGGGCCTCAAAGGGAGCCCTCAGCAAGAGAGCCCTTTGCCTTCCTCCCCTCAAGGGCCTCTCCACCTAGCTGCTGGGAAACAGCAAAATTTCCCTGAGAAAGTCTGAGGAAGAAGCTAGGTCATGCAGGGTGATGATGCTGGGATCTGGGAGAAAAACAACAGCCTTACTTGGGATGCTGAAGGTTTCATAGCCCCTTTGTGCCCCTTCAGTCTAGCCAAGGACCTGGATTTAGAGCTGGTATTGCAGAAGCTGCCAGGGAGGCCAGGAAACCCTGGGCAGGAAAGTTAGGGAGCAGGGAAGCAGGTCTTTAGAAATGAGGCCAAGCTACACAACCAGGGAACCCCCCCACCCCCGGATCTAACCCTAACGGCTCCTGTGCTGGGAGGTGCCTCCTGAAGAGTTAGTTGATCCTTACATTTCAAAACTCCAGAGTTTCCCAATCAATCCTCCTTACTGACCCTACTCTCCACTCCCCAGCCTCTTAGTTCCTTAATTGACACACAGCTCAGATCCAGTAAACAGGATGGCTTGGGGCATGGGGGGAGTGGAGTGGGACAGGTATAAAAAGGAAGTTGGCAGTGTGGGAACCAGACCTTGTCAGGCAGCTGAGCACTAGAAGCCCAGGGAATTGAAGGAAGAGGACAACCGCCCTGCTCTGCTGCAGCTGGGATGTGTCTGAGGATGACTCAAACAGGTATCTGGGCTGGACCAGGTGGATTGGGGTAGTGTTTTTTCAAGATGAAGGGTCCAAGCAACCCATGGAACTACTGCAGGGTGGGACCTGGACTCCCCCTTGCTTGGGGAACAAATGGGAGTCCTGGTGTGGCACTGTAGAATCACTGAATTATGGTTCAAACCCATCCACTACTCCTTAAAAGCCCTATACAGGATTGCTATGAGTCTGAAGGAACTTGAGAGTACTTTACAACAAAGGTGGATCAGACAGAGTCTGGGGAGGGTTGGGGACGGAGGAGGTTGCTGTCCTGCCCTAGATTGCCTGGAGGAGTGAGTGAGGGGAAGGAAGAGCAGGTCGTGCTTACAGACTTCTAACCCCAGATCTCTCCACAGGCCTTGTGGTCTTACTGCTGCTCCAGTGCTGTGAGTAATGGAACCTGCTTTTAAGTGATGGGGGATGGGAGTAGGGTGGAAATCTTGACACTTGTCCAGTTCTTTCTGTGAATTCAATGACTCATAGAGATTAATATTTGTTAAAACGAGATGAAGGTCATATGCATGCTTAGCTCTGTTTTATTGATTTCATTCCATTGTCTACTTTTCTGTATATTTGAAAGTTTTCCAAATTCAGTAATGACCTGTTAGAAGCCACTAACTCAAGTCCTTCCTAGATAATCAGGAACTTAATGTGCAGCAGGAGAAATGCAGAGTCCGAGAAGAAGACTATCCCACTCCATTGTGATACTATGCCCCAGTTATCTGCTGATCTGTAGTTGGTTATGAGTTGTTATTGTCATTGTTTAGTGCTGGCTGGTTAGTTCCAACTCATAGCAACTCTGAGTAGCTGCTGGTGGGTTCGAACCACCAACCTTACAGTTAGTAGACCAGTGCTTATCCTACAGCACCACACCAGCAGGATGGTTAGAAACACCGACCAGAGCAACTTGGATCCATGAATCCACTGCAAGTCCCACAAGGCTATCTTCCCACACTGACTGCCTTGCCTCAAAGCCTAGTCAGGTAGCCTTCTCTACTGAAATGGTGCCACCTATATTTCACCTGGAGTGCTGGTGTAGCTCTGTAGCACTGAACCGCAAGGTTAGTGGTTCAAACGCACCAGCCACTCCTCAGAAACCCTACATAGGATCACTACAAGTCAGAACCGACTCGGTAGCACTTAACTACCACAACAACACATTTCATTAATATTCACCATCCACCACTCTCACCTTGTTCTTAGTCTGCAGTGAATGAATTCATAGTTCCCCAGCATCTTTGCAGCATGCCTGATTTTCAACAGACAGGAACTTCCCAAAAGCAGGGGAGTTTGAGCCAGGCCCTTTCACTCAGACCTCTGTCTTATTCCCAGTTCTGCCCCTAACCCCACCTCTTTGGAGTTCAGCTCCAAAAGATCTCCTCCAGAGGATCTCTGGCTCTATCCCAGCCCAGATCCCACTCCAGACTTCTTCCTCAGGTTCTGCTTACAAACTGGTCTGCTACTACACCAACTGGTCCCAGTACCGGGAGGGTAATGCGAAATGCTTCCCAGACAACATCGACCCCTTCCTCTGCACCCACATCATCTACAGCTTTGCCAACATAAGCAACAACGAGATCGACACCTTGGAGTGGAATGACGTGACACTCTATGGCATGCTGAACTCACTCAAGAAAAAGTTGGGTCACTGGCTAGCCGGGACAGGATGGGGATAGACGGCTTACTGGGCTGGGCTCAGAGCAGGATGGTTCTGCCCAGGGAGAACTGGGTGGAGGATTGCAGGACTTGGACTTCCATGGGAGGAGATAATGAGGTGGGTATTGATTGGTGTTTGGCGTAATAATAGAGACAGACTCTAGAAGAAAGCAGGGACTGAGCTTCCCTGGAGATTTGGAGGCAAAAGGGGGGTTCTTCCCCAAGAAATCCTTTCCAAAGTACATGGAAACTTCTCACCTCTCTATTCTGCCATCCCTAGTTTCCCCACTAAGAAGATCAAGAAATGAGCAGTATGTCTAAGAGAAACTGCCATCAAGTTGATGACCTCTTAGAATCCCTGAATCTCAGGGTCAGAAAGATCTCAGACACATAGTTCAACCTCCCACCCAAAGCTAGAAACCTGCTACGACCTCAGATACAGGTCCAGCAAGTGTTACGACGGCTTCACTCCATTACTATCCTCTTATCCCTGTGTCTCACAGTAACCCCAACCTGAAGACTCTCCTGTCTGTTGGAGGATGGAACTTTGGCTCTGAGAGGTAGGACCCATTCCTCAGCGGCAGGACCACAGAGAATGATGAAATAAGAGTCTATTTCCCTGACTGTATGGGGGCACAAGAAGCCCAGACTGGTTGGGCACAGAGACCTAAATAGCTGTTAGGGGCTTTAGGCTTGACATACTGTCAAGGAACCAGAGCCTTGTACTTGTCATGAGTCACACAGCAAGTTGACAACAGATCTTCTGGTCCTTTGACAGTGCTCTGTTTACTGTCCCCTCACACCTAAGAACAATGAACAACTGGGAGCTACTGGTGTAGGGGCTAACAGGAGATAGATGGAAATTAATGGGAAGCTTTAGGGGTATAGAGACGCTGGGAATATCCCCAGGAGTGGATAGAGTGGGAGCAGGGCTTAAAAGAGGTTAGAGCATGACCACAATAGCTCCCATTTGTTGAGTGCTTATTAAGTGTATGTCAGGCACCCTTTCCAGCCACAACAGCACCATCAGGTAATATAATCAACCCCATTTTACATACGGGAAAACTGAGGCTCAGGTTACAACCTGACCAAAGTGATAGAGCCAAGTCTGGAAATCAGACATGTCTTAGGGAGTGTACTGTCTCACCATGCTCTCCTAAAGCAGGGTAGGCTCAGGTTCTCAGCTCGTCAAGTCTGAGAAACTCCACCAAAGGGTCAAAGACTCCAGCATATTGGTGTTAAGCATACCAATGGTGTGATTTTGGTCCTAGATTTTCCAAAATAGCCTCCAACAGTCAGAGTAGCCAGACTTTCATCAAGTCGGTGCCAACATTTCTGCGGACCTATGGCTTTGATGGGCTGGACCTGTCCTGGATCTACCCTGGACGGAGAGACAGACAGCATTTCACCAACCTGGTCAAGGTACTGGTTGAGTGGGGGGTGGGGTGGAGGTTGTCAGGCATCAGGAGGTGTAGGGGGTGGGTGAGTAAGACCTGTCTCCAGATGATGGCCTCCTAAGGGCAGGCAAAGACATTGAGGCCTCCCTGCTACAGGGTCCCAGGACCCTGAACCAGGAGCAGACAAGCTGCCCTAAGGATCTTTCTTCCAGTGTAGGTCAGAAGAGGCCCATTTAGTAGTGCATTCCCATCCAAGCTGATACCATCAGTATCCTGTATGCACTGCATCCAGGGACTGTCACCCCATCTGAAGGCAGCTCCAGTCACTCCAGTTGCCCCAGGGGCAAATTGCCACAAGACCAGTTATAAATCACTTTAATTTTGTGATTCCCTATGCCAGCAAGAGCAAAGTACCAGCTAAAAGGCACACCTCTTCCAATATTATCAACTACTGTGCTGATGGTCCCTTCAGGATGGGAGGAACTGCATCCAAACAGTGTTTGGAAAAGGGATACGTGGCATTGAGGATGGGACCACTTCATCATTCCGTTGATCCCAGAGAGGTTGAGGATCACAGCAAACAAGGAAAATGAATGAGGTGGTCCGAGACCTCAGCATCTATCTGCCAGTCTCCCTCTCACACGGTCTGAGTCAGCATCCTCTTCACTCACCCACCTGTCTCCCATCCAGAATTTGAAGGCTGAGTTTTCAAAGGAAGCCCAGTCAGGAAAAGAGCAGCTCTTACTCAGTGCAGCTTTTCCTGCCGGGAAGGTCAACATCGACATTGGCTACGATGTCCCCCAGCTCTCACAGTGAGTCTCTGCACGTGGCCCTCTCTCCCTCACTCAGCCCTATCACTCCATGTAGAGTCAGGACACTGGGCTTCTAGTCCCAGTGCTTCCAGAAGTTCAGTGTGTGACCTTGAGCAAGTCACTTTTCAGCTCTGTGCCTTAGTTTCCCTTTAATCTCTGTGGGTGCTTTGTGACCAGCTGAGGACACGGTAATAAATGTGTTTTAGAAAATGGAAGAGGAAAATCTATACAAACCAGCCAACCACAGTAGCCACTTTCTCCATGCCTGGTCCAGCAGGCATGGAGAAGGTGGTACCTGGAGAGATAGCAGAGCAGTAACAAACAGCACCTTTCATTTCTGGAAGGTTGGCAAGTCCTCAAGGTGCTTTCATCTAGACTGGTTCACCCACCACCTTGTCTCCCTGTTCCCCGTGCATATGAGTATGAGTAGTCAACAGCCAAGTATCTGGTCTCTTGGTGGAATAAAAGTGTGGATCTTGGGAAACCCAAAAATAAGAGAAAAAAGGCTCTTCAATTTGACTCCAGAATTTTCTTAGGGAGCTATGGACTTGTTGCATAGTGTGACTATTTAAAGGATGGAAAGAGGTGGCTGTCAATTATCTGTCCCAAACTCCCAAAGCTGATACACATAAAATGCACTACAGCCCACAGTCCCCATGCCCTTGCCAGTATGGATGTGGGAAACTTCCTCCCCACACCACTGTATCTTTGGGCTCACATTAACTTTGGCTGCCTGTCAATGCCACTTCTCATTTGTTTTTGCCAAGACAAACATGGTGGGAGAGGCGGGAGGATGGGGGGGTGAAGCTCCACACCCAGATGTGTGCTGGAGACCTAATAGGAGAATCCTGTTCTTGCATTAAATGCACTTGTGAGACTCTGAGGCCACACCCTGGTGTAGCACAGAGGAGGTAGCCCAGCAGCCAGGGCAGCAGATAACAAGTTCTCTCAGCTGTCCACCTGTCTTGCTGCACCTTTTACTGGGATGGTGGACTTGTAGCCAAGAACATTTCTAATTCCCTGACTTCCCCTTCATCTCTTTCTTCCACAGATACCTGGATTTCATCAATCTCATGACCTATGACTTTCATGGAGCTTGGAGAGATATCACAGGCCATCACAGCCTCCTCCACAAAGACCAGGATAGCTTAAGTTCTGACCGATACTTTAATGTTGTAAGCGCCCAGAGGGAGCGAGGGCTGGGAGGGGGGCCACAAGACCTACTGTGTTCATATGCCACCCATCTGCTCCTCAGTGCAATTCTGCAAGGGAGTGGTTATGATGCCCACTGTACAAATGAGCTAATGGAGGCCCAAGTCTGTGTATTCTCCATGACTCCTGGAATGAAAAACTAGGACATCTTCTAATGGGTCTGTAGGGTGGAGGCAGTGAGGCAGAGACAGGGGCAGAGTAGAGAAAGCACTCTCTTTTGTGATGGAGTTGAGGAGGATGGTGTCTACTCTTCACCTCTCATCTGTAACCAGAGCAAATCACCCATTTTTGCATCTGTCAAATAGTAATAATCCCTTTCTATACCTAATAGCTAGGGGCATTGGAGGCAGTGGTAGACTTCTCCCATTCCATTCAGGATACCTAGGTTCGATTCCCAGCCAGTGTACCTGAGTAGAGGCTAGAGTGGTGTTATGATGCTGAACAAGTTTCAGTGAAGCTTCCAGACTAACAGTAGGAAGAAAGGCCTGGTGATCTACTTCTGAAAATCAGCCAATGAAAAGCCTCTGGATCACAGTCAGTCAAGGGTCAACTCTACAGCAGCTAACAACAAAAGTATACCTTGTAGGATGTTTTTGAGATTGAAGTCATGAAATGCAATTAAAAGTGACATTATTGGTTCCCAGAGGAAAGGGAAACCCCAGATTTACTGTATGTGGATATCCTCACCATTTAAGGCAGCAATGTTAATTGTACAATTTTCTACATTCAGATGCCACCAGTCAGCTAACTGGCCTCTCTGGTACTTCCCCTCCTCTCCCAGGAGTACGCTGTGGGGTACATGTTGAGTCTGGGAGCCCCAGCTAATAAGCTGGTAATGGGCATCCCCACCTACGGGAGAAGCTTTACCCTGGCATCCTCTATGACGGGCTTTAGAGCTCCAACCTCAGGGCCTGGAACAGAAGGCCACTTCACCAAGGAGAAGGGCATGCTTGCCTACTATGAGGTAATGGGGTTGGGGGAGAAGGTAAGGTTCTCAAATACATACCACCAGCAGCCCTAGGTAAAGTGCTCCTCCCACCCCCACTTTGGTTCCTTGGGAATAAAAAATATCCCCAGTGACCTAGCACCTGAAGACGAGGAAGGGGCAAACCTTTTTCTATGAACTGTCTCCCACAGGCAGATATCTAGTCACTAGCACCACCCTAGTGAGGAGCTTCAGGAATGTCCTTCTGTCCACTGAGCTGGGATTTCCCTCTAGCCAGGAGACAGCAGTGGCCAAGGGCAGCCTCGTTTGCTGTATATGGTACAGTCTCTGCTGCTCTGGCTATACATCCTCAGTGGCAGACCAACCAACCTTCCCATAGCCCTGTTTAAGGAGGACACTCTGAAAGCTCTCAGCTATAGAAGGGACTTCAAATACTCCATTTCCTTTTAATTCCACGTTTCTATAAATTTTATGAAGCTTCCCCAGTCCACATGTGGACAGCTTTCTGACACTATTTGTACCTATTTTACATATATTTGTAAGAAGTCTATAGTTTCTGGAGTCAGATAGAGCCTGCAGGAGGGAGTCAGGGGCTGGAAGACATCTAAGGAGAGACTTTTTTCCCTGGGACTGGCAGTCCCTGCATGACATCTTAACACTACCCCACCCCACTCCACCACTGTTCTCTCCATAGATCTGTGATTTCCTCAACGGGGCCAACATCAAAAGACTCCGTTTGGGGAAGGTCCCTTATGCCACCAAGGGCAACCAGTGGGTAGGGTATGACGACCAGGAAAGCGTCAAAACCAAGGTAGGCTGCCCCAAGACCACACCCCAGGAGAGAAAAAGAGGGAGAGGGAGACAGTCCCATCCCAAGGAACCAGATTCAGGGATCCCTTCTCTTGTGGTATGGTGGTTAAGTGCTCAGCTACTAACCAAAAGGTTAGAGGTTCAAACCCACCAGCTGCTCCATGGGAGAAGAAGTGGCAGTCTGCTTCCATAAAGATTTACAGCCTTAGAAAACCCATGGGACAATTCTACTCTCCTCTGTAGGGTCTCAATTAACTTTATGGTATCAGGTTTTGCAGTAAAGATCGGGGTGTTGTGGGTCTCAGGTGCCTGCTGTTCCCTTCCCTGGGGAGGGACCCACAGGGTAGGTCCCCACTCCCCCATCCCCACTTCCCACACCCAACCCTATCTAAGAAATCCAGCCCTGCCCCTCTGGACCTTTCCTGCTAGGTGCAGTACCTGAAGAGCAAGCAGCTAGCAGGCGCCATGGTGTGGACTCTGGACTTGGATGACATTCGAGGCTCTTTCTGTGGCCAGAAGGCATTCCCTCTCACGAGCACCATCAAGGATGCACTCTCTGTAGCTTAGACTCCCTTCCTGTCCTTCTGCTCTCCCTCCCCTCTGCACACAGTGGGAACAGGGTGCCCCACACCCCTTGGCTGCAGCTGTTGAGTCCTCATCTGAGCCTTTCTCCTTCCTTGGAGCCACAGCTCTGAGATTTGGGCTCAGCTCCGGGAAACAAAGAGGTATGGGCGGGACCATGGGGCTATATGGGCTTTCAGACCAGCACAGTATATGGCATAGGATCAGTAAACACTTGCTGACTAATGAAAATGCTTACTGAGTCCCAAGTCTGGCACAAGGGAATTTCAACTCCCTTACCCCCAGCCTACTTGCCAGAAGATACCATCGTGCTGATCAAGTAGCCAGCTACCTTACAAAAAGCCATGCCCTACTAAATATACTCTCTGCAAAGACCAACTTGAAACCTTCCCCTGCAAAGCATAACCACGTCTATTATCCCACTTCCTTTCCTAATTCCACAACTGCTCAATAAAGTACAAAAGCTTAACAGTGTGTGACACTTGCTTCAGTCCATCTTCGTGGCCTCACTGGGCCCACTGGGTTCACCTCCCCAAATGTTCTGGATTCTTCTCTCTGAGGCCCGGTAGCCTAAACTTGTAGAGGATGAAGCCACCAGGCACCATGTCTCCAGTTGTGCCCCATTGGGAGACCAGCATCCTCAGCCTCATCTGCTTGAACACAACCCAAGTGGCCTGGTGGCCTTCTAGATCCTAAGGTCATTGTCATCGGGCTTCTTAATGAAGTTCCTTGCTGAAGGAAAACATGTTTGCTTCTGAAGTGCAGCAGATGCTTCATAGGAAGCCCTTTAACCCCATCCTCTCATCTCCTCTGTTCCCCAGAAGGTGGTGGAAGCCAACCACAGGGTCACTCTAGAGCCCTGAACTCTGGACTTTCAAGGCCAGAAGGAAAGCAGATGTCAATTCAAGTACCTTCCCACCCTCCCAAGGCTGAAGTTTCTGTAGGACCCACCCACCCATCGAGCTGATTCTGCAGGGCATTTGAGAGATACTCCCAGTACCAGGATTCTCTGGGTGTTGTGAATGGTGAAGGATTTACTACTAGTCAAAAGTTTGGCAGTTCAAATCCACCCAGAGACCTTCAGAAAATAAGTCTGGCAATCTGCTCCCCAAAGACCACAACCTTGAAAACTCTATGGGGTACAGGTCTACTCTGACACACATGGGGTCGTCAGGAGTCAAACTAAACTCAGATGCAGCTAATGATGACGACCCATTGCCAGATACATCTTTACCTCACCACTTCTGGGCTGAAATCAGCCAACAGTCCCAGCATTATCCTCTGGAAGGACACAGGACACTCCTCTCTCACTCCTGTAACAGTCCCTGCAGAGTCCAAGTCACCTCTGCTCAGGTGGCCTCTGGCATGAAAGACCAGTCCATTTCCCAGGCTTTGTGGTTGGAGATCCTCTCCCAGGTTTCTGTGTGCTCCTAGGTACTCCTATATCCAAAGAGAGTCCTGATTCTCACTCTAAAACCAAAGGGAATCTACTTGTGGCTTCATCTGTGATTTGGGATTACCACCAATTGGCCTAATGGTTCCTGACACTGATTTGAGGTGTAGGTGAGGTGGCTGTCCTGAAATCTGAACCAGCTGGAGCTGGGCAGATGCAACTGATCCCAAGGTCACAGTCTTGCTAAAGGCAAAAAGTAAGAACTTGGCCAGGGTCTTGGAAGGAACTGGACATTTCACCGCTGATCTGTAAGGTCATGCAATTCCTAATCCCTGTCCACTGTCCATCTCACCCCACAAGGGATTGGAAAACTCAGAGGCTGTGAACCATCCTGAGCAGCCCCCACCTGTGGTCACCCCCTTCCTGGCACCCTTCTCCCAGCTTGGGACTGACTCCTCAGGGCTGACTCAGGGTCCTGCAGGGTTAGTCACACTCTCTTATAGCTACAGAGTCAGAGGCCAGGGATGGGGATCAGATCTCCAGTGCCCGCCCCCGGCCCAGCAGAACACAGAGTCACCTGGTAGAGGACACGGACACCCAGGCATGACAGGACCCAGAAACTCCCCCAGATCCTCCACTGCCACGCCTCGGCTCTCCGTAGTGTAGTGTTGAGACGTAGCTAGACCCCCTTCTGGGCCCAGCTCTTGGGTCTGAGGACCTAGCCCAGACCTGCTGCTCACTACATGCTCATATATTTGTTTTAAAGTGGGATAAACCGTGCGTGCTGAGGGGCCTGGGTGGTACAAGTATTTTTCAATCAGTTGCTACTAAACCATTGGCAGTTTGAACCTACCCAGGGGCTCCATGGGAGAAAGGCTTGACAGATTGCTTCTGTAAAGATTACAGCCAAGAAAACTCTGTGGAGCCTTTCTGCTCAGTAGCATACAGAGTCATAATGAGTCAGGGACCGACTCAAAAGAATTAACAATACTACAAACTTATACAGGTTAAAGAGTGCCTAAAATGGGCATGTTTGATTTAAAAGAATTGTTATAAAGTGAAAACCTTCGTAACCATCACTTGGGGAAGGAAATGAAGCACACTCACATATATCCCTAGAGGTGGCCCCTGTCCTGACTTTAGGGTCCCATCTTGATGGTCTCACCACCTATGAATGTACCTGAACACAGCAGCTTGTTGTAGCCTGTTTTTAAATTTAACATAGATGGGATTACACCATACGCATTTCTGTGTGTCGTGCTTTTGTTTTTTCTTGTCCATCATTGGATTGCTAACCACAGTGTTGACCGTTTAAACCCACCATGGAGAAAAATGAGGCTCTGTCCCTGTAAAAATGGTCAGTCTCGGAAACCCCAGGGAGCAGTTCTACTCTGTTCTAAATGGTCGCCCTGAGCCCAAATAGACTTGATGGTAGTGAGTTTGATTTAGTTTGGTCTGGAATCACGTCAGCAAAATCATCTGTGTAATTTATTGTAAATGGATGAAGTTTGTTCATTTTATTCCATTTTTTTCTTTCTAGTTGCATAAAAACTCAACGTTATTATCCACCCCAGTGGCGAAGGATAGGTGTTTTCCACAGGTTTAGACTGTTATAAGCAATATGTCTGCTGGGACACACATATAGGAATTTTTGTACGGATGTGTACAAGTGTTTCCAGGAATGGAACATTCAGTCATAGAACATGCACGTTCTCAACTTTATTGGATACCATCTCCAAAATGGTTGATCCAGTGAGCATTCTCACCAGCAATGGGCGTTCTTGTTCCATTTCCTCCCAAACATATTGTATGTGCAAAGTTTTCAATTATGACCAGTCTTGAAGTTTTATTGAAAGAAGGAATAAATCAATGAACCAGTGATAAAAATCTTTGGCCACAGCGGTCTCCTTTCTCACTGCAGATGCCCACGACCCACTTCAAAGAGTCTAGACGTTTCAGAGTGCTGTCTGCCCCAGGCTCTCTTCATGACCTGCCTATGGTCTATCGCAGCCCTGTTCTCTGCAACTTACAGGAAAGCTAGGGCCCAGAGCAGGGGCTGGGGAAGACCAGGGTCTCACCAGCCTCTCCAACAGAACAGTAATCATGGGTCGTCTTCCCTAGAGTCCTGCTGGAGAGCTTTCCAACATCCCTCCTCTGTAGTGCCCTCAAGGAGACCTGGTGGTACAGTGGTTACGTGCTTGGCTGCTGAGAGGTTTATGGTTCAAGCCCACCAGCCGTTTCCCAGGAGAAATGTGAGGCAGTTTGCTTCCATAAAGATTTACAGCCTCAGAAAGCCGAGGGAGCGATTCCGCTCTGTCCTGTAGGCTGCTATGAGTCAGAATCCACTCGACAACAGTGGCGATGGGAGTAGTACCCTCAATCTCACACAGCCCAAGACAGAGTCCCCAGGAAATGTGGGCATGAGGGGAATGAGGAACCCCAGGGCAAAGCTGAGAGTGCTTCTCGGAGAGGGCTGTTTCAGGCAGCCTGGCCCCCAGCACCCTATCTAAGAGCTGACACAAATGGCCTCATAGAAGCCCAGCACACCCAGGCATAGCTAGGTTCATTTTCTAGGTGAATGCACTCTCCCATTGCCCTGACCCCTGGCACAGGCCCCCAGCAATGCCCCGTTTCACCCATCTGTGTCCTCCCCCCATCTGGGCACCCAATCAGGGGATGGAAGAGGTAGCGTCCTCCTCCAGGGACCCTGTGGTTCCTCCCCCAGAGCTATTCCTGGCCTAGACGCCTCTCAGTCCCCCAGTCCCCCTGCCTGACCTGACCCCACAGCTGGGAATAATCGGCTGGGGGTGGGGCATCCCCTGACTATATATATATGTCTGGACCTAGGTGTTCCAGGCACCCTGGAGACCCAGACGCTCCACTTCCGACCCCTGCGCCCTGCCTCCTGACCCTCAGCCAGCCCAGCAATGACAGGAAAGACCATCTCTGAGTCCCGCATCTGTGGTCCAGAGGAGTCAGCATCTGAGCCTGCCAAAGTGCCCACCCCAGAGTCCTCTGGAGAGGTGACAACACCAGAGTCCTCTGAGGGGGAGCAGGTTCCCCCACCACGGGAGCCTGTACCTGAGGCCCCTGCCCCAGCAGCCCCCACACCTACTAAGACTACACCCCCAAGCGAAGGTGACAAGTGACGGGCAAGTGGAGGAGGGGAGGCAGGGAGTGGGGAGCAAGTTCTGGACCGTGAACCCTTCATCTCACTCTGACTTCTCTCCCAGATGTGCCCAGTGCCCCATTGCTGCTGACCGTGGAGGATGTGAGCAGCAGTTCAGTGACTGTGAGCTGGGAGCCCCCGGAGAGGCTCGGGAGGCTGGGGCTTCAGGGCTACATGTTGGAACGCCGCCAAGATGGAGGTGAGCTCTAAGCTAAGCCCTGCCAACATCCAGGGGCAATAAGCTTGAGGGGCACAAGGACAGGCCCCCAAACCTTGCAGTTGGTCAGTCTGGGGCATATACATAAAGAAGGCATGTAGGTGGTCTCTTTGCTCAACTGATGTATTTCAAAAGGTGGGGGGATGTCCAAAATGACCTCAGCTGGTACTCCAGCTCCTGAGAGCCTCTCAGTAACAGAGGTACAAGGACTGAGCACACTGGTACTCTGCTCTAAGGAGAAGTTACAGAGGAGCTGAGTCTCAGAGGGCCCTGCCTATGAGGACAAGGCAGAAGGTGGAGCACAGAGAAGCTAGAAAGGGCCAGAAACAACAACAGGCAGTGAAGAAAAAGGGGGACCCTCTGGCCAAATTCCTATTGCCAGTGCCCATCTCTGTGGCAGTCAAGTTCAGTCTGGCCTCTGCCTCTGCCCCTACCTCGCTAGGTAACTTTTGCAAATGTGTCTAACCCTCTCGGGGCTTCAGCAAGCCCACCTTGGGCCATGATTTCAGGAGCTAGCTGGGAATCTAAGAACACGTGCCTCTGATAGTGCCATCTGATAGTGAGAAAGCAAAGAATGGGGAGGTCAGCTTTCCCTAACCACCAGACAGAAGGGAAGCCCTGTTAGAAGGGGCACCCGGACCTGGTTCTCATGGCCATGCATTCCAAGGTCTCAGGCTCTCCCCATCTCCCTCAGCCTCAGAGTGGGTGCCTGTGAACGCCCGGCCCATGATGGTGAACCAGCAGACCATACGGAACCTGGCTCTGGGAGACAAGTTCTTCCTGCGTTTGACTGCAGTGAGCTCCGCAGGGGCCAGCCCGCCAGCTGTGTTGGACCAGCCTATCCACATCCGAGAGATCATCGGTAAAAGCCCATCCTTTTGCTTCCTGCTACCTAGCCCTTCCCAGGCACCTTAACTGACGAATGGAGAAGCTGAGGCCAGTGGGCAGAGAAAACTGAGCAGCCATTCCCTTGCTCCACACTTACATGCCCTGTGCTCTCCCCATCTTACCTTAAGAAAGTCCCAGGCTCCCCAGCAGTAAGAGGCCCCTAGAGGTCAAAGGGTCCATGTTCATGAATGGCGCAGCCCTCAGACATTGTGGAAGGGACTTTCCTGAACCCCAGAAATGAAAGCTCAAGCACCCCAGGCCATCTGACTCAGGTCCTACTGCTAAAATTGCTACCTCATCTTAATCTCTCCATTGGCCCTGCCACATGCTGCTCATTTCATCTGGCCTGAGCTCCACAGTCTGCCAGTACAGGGAAGGCTTTGCTCACCCCTTGTTGCACCATGTCCCTGGTGGGAGGAAGAAGACCTGCAAAAGGCCCATGAAGTCTTCCTCATTCCCAGAGGGCAAGGCCACGCTGGAGACCCAGGAGGCCAGCTGCTGTTCCTGTTGCTAATACTTCTATTTGCAGGGTGCATTAGTCTGAGTCCTGGCCTTGTGCACCCACCCCCACCCCTAGGGCTTATCAGGTTTCAGTCTGTTAACGGCAGTGAGTCATTTGGTCTGATCTGAGGTCTCTGGGGACAGTCCAGGGCCCCAGAGTGAAGAGAGACACAAGCAAGCAGGTGGCCTGAGACCTTCTCCACCTTCTTTCTGGCTCCCCCACCAAGAAGACAGATGGACATTTCCTGGCAGAGGCTAGGGCAGAACACCACCAGGAGAAGTCAAGGTGGGATTCAAGAAAATCTCACTCAACTCTGAGATCTGAGACTTGGGAGCCATTGAGTTAGGGAGCTTAGAATCATAGACAATCACAGCTGATCCATCCTAGCCAAGCCTACCTCACAGGGCCCAAGGACTCCCTGAAGGTTACCCCAGACTACTAGTGGCAGAACCTATCTCCCACCCACAGGCCTACCTCCAGTTCCTCAGGCCTTAGTTTAGTCTTGTCTGGTAGTTTTCAAACCCAAGAATATCCCCAGCCCCACCTGGCCATTTCATTAAAGACACATTGACTCTGGGTTGTGAGGGTCCTGGACCTTCCCCGGAGGCCCAGGGCTCTGAGAGGCTCTTGGGCCCTATCTCCAAAGGTCTCAGGCTGATGAAGTCAGCCAGCCTGTGCACCCACTTTAAATTAAAATTCCTCTGGCAGAAGAGAAGGGGATTTCCTGGAGAGAAAACAGAGAGGAGGCCATGAACAAACAGGGAGCAACCAGCCTCTCCTCTCGGGCAGGGCATGGTGGGAGCCCTGTCCAGAGTCCTGGGCTGCTCAGCTGTCCCTCCTCAGCCACCTGGAGCTGCCAAGCATTCCCGGCCCCCTACAGCTGCCCCTGGAGCATTCCATGCCTGATGCTCCCAAAGCCAAGTGCCTGCACGTCTAATCCTCAGAGACACAGTGTTCCTTCTCACTGTCTCCTCCTCCACCCGGCATGCCACCAACCAACTGCTGCCACCTGTTTGCCACTAAGGAACCTCAGCACCCAGCCCCAGCCCCGGCCTCTGTGTGGGGAGGGGTTGGAGTGCGGATGGTGTTGTAGGCAGCTTCCCTTGGAATGCCCAGTGGTTCCGGTGGTTGTTCCTGATGAGGTGATGATCAGGAAATAGGTTCCCTACCATAGTCGGGGCCTGAAGTAAGACTTTAGGAAGGACTTCCTAACTGTAAGAGCTAAAGATAGTGGGAGGGGTGACAGGCTCTCGCCTCCTGTAAGAAGAGAGATCCTAATCTTCCCAGTATGATCCGGAGACAAAGGAATGGGAGACAAGGTATCACAGAGGCTTCTCTGAAGCTGAGGGGCACAGAGTGGGAGAAGTGGGGAGCTAGGGGCTGCTGGGTTGGGAAGAAGCCATTGCCTCCCTACCCAGGAGTTCAGGCCCCAACAGGTGCAGCACCTGCTTCCCACCAGAGGGAGCCAGGGAGCCACTTGGGCCCATCTGGAGCTTGGGAATGCCAGGGCTACCGGATAAATCCCAGCCTGGCAGGGTGGAGGCATCAGGAGAATGCTCGGGATGCTTACCAGTTCATACCACAGAGGCCAGGCCCTCCCTGGGACCTCCTGCCTCTCCACTCCCCAAAGACTTAAGAGACTCTGGCCTCTGAATCTGGAAAGTACGCTGTGCCCTCCTCACAAGGAGGCAGCCCCAGATGGCCAAACACACCCAGGACCCTCCTGCCAGGCCAGTAGGTGTCCCAGTGCCCTGACTTCCAAGCCCCAAACCAGCTCCCTCTCTGTGGTGCTAAGCCTACACTCTGGTTTTGATGCAGAGGCCCCCAAGATCCGAGTTCCCCGACACCTTCGTCAGACCTACATCCGTCAGGTGGGAGAGTCTGTAAACCTACAAATCCCCTTCCAGGTGGGTGAGCCTCTTGCTCAAGGTGAGAGCCTGCTCTGCTGTGGGGAACCAGGGCCCCCATCTGAGGGGTGGGAGGCAGGAAATGTTCCACGACGTCTACCTGGAGCCCATCAAGACTGCCCATTCTCCCCAAGTCACACATATGATTCATTTGTAATTCTTCATCCAGGGCAGGTAGTCTCCCAGGCCTGGACACCTGGGGAACAGGGCTCTGGACAGTACTTGTGGCTTTGACCTCTGCTGTGCCTTCAGGGAAGGGCCAATGGGACAGGCTGCCCAGGGCACAGCCCCAGACCCCCGAGTTGGGTGGGCATGGGGTGCCAGCACCCCCATACAGCCACCCTGAAGGTTCCACCTTCTCAGGGAAAACCCAGGCCTCAGGCCTCATGGACCCACAACAGCCAGCCTCTGGACAGCCAGCAGACCAGTGTGCGAACTGGGGACCACGACTCCATCCTCTTCATCCGCAAGGCCCAACGCTCAGACTCAGGCCGCTACGAGCTCACCTTGAAGCTGGAAGGCCTGGAAGCCAAGACAGCCATTGACATCCTAGTGATCGGTACAAACTGGGGGTGGAAGGTTGCCTGCTGGGGAGCTCCCATCCTAGCCTAGCGCTTAGGACTGATGGGAGCAGGCCAGAGGAGTGTGGCAGGAGCCAAGTGTTAGGGGTGGGGACTTAGTGGCCAGGCCCATCCTGATACCTGCTCCTCCTCACACTCTGGTCTTGCAGAGAAACCTGGGCCACCCAGCAGCATTAGACTACTGGATGTCTGGGGCTGCAACGCTGCCCTTGAGTGGACGCCACCCCAGGACACGGGCAACACAGAGCTACTGGGCTACACCGTGCAGAAAGCAGACAAAAAGACAGGGGTGAGGCAGGCTGGGCTGGAGGGTGGAGTGATGTGGGGTCAGAGGCCCATTCTACTGAGTCTGGGGACTAAGTGCTACACGAATTTCCTTTAACCTGACTCCCTGTGTGACTTTTGACAACTCTTTCTCTCTCTGGGCCTCAGTTTCCTCATACAGACTCCAAATAGGGCTGGCCTGGGCTCTCTGAGGTCTTTCAAACTCTCATTGCTATTAGTTACCATGGAGTCAATGCTGACCCATAGCGCCCCCGTGTGTGCAGAGTAGAACTGCGCCATAGGCTGTAACTTTTCAGCCTCAGATGGTGGGACTGTCTCCTGAGCTGCCTCTGGGTAGGTTCCAACCACCAACCTTTAGGTTAGTGGCCAAGTGCTTCATCCTTTGCATCCACTGTCTGAGCCACTGTCTGGAGAGTGCACATGAATCACCTGGGGGTCTTGTTGGATCACAGAATCTCGTTCAGTAAGGTCCAGGGTGAGGGATGAGAGCCTGCATTTCTAACACGCTCCCTGGTGACAGTAAGGTTGCTGGTGCAGGGGTCACACTTCCCAGTTGCCAGCAAGTTGTTTCTGACTCATAGCAACTCTATAGGCCAGAGTTGCTTAGTAGAGTGGAGGGGCAACAAAAAACACGAAGATCCCCAACAAGATGGATTGACACCGTAGCGGCTCAAATGTGACGATAATTGTGAGGATGGCGCAAGGCACATCGGGTCACTAGGAGTTGGAACCGACTCAGCGGCACCTAACAGCAATAGGACAGAGTAGGACTGCCCCATAGGGTTTCCAAGGCTGTAATCTTTACGGGGACTCCTGGTGTGGCCCTGTAGGATCAGCACTGGACTGCAAACCACAAGGTTAGCTGTTCAAACCCACCAGCTGCTCCTCGGAAACCCTATACAGGGTCGCTATGAGTCAGAATAGACTCAATGACACTTAACAACAACAACAATCTTTATGGAAGCAGACTGCCACAGCTTTCTCCCTCAGAGCTCCCTTTGAATAGAATTCTGAGAACGAGCAGCCCTGCCCCCTCAGACCCCAAACTGGACAGCTCAGCCTCCCAGAATTGTAAGGGGTGGGGGTGGTAAATGGCCCGTTGGAGGAAGGGGTTGCTGGGCTCACCTTTATCAGGTGAGGCTGATTAAATGGGGTCCTGCAGCAATGGTTCACAGTGCTGGAACGTTATCACCCCACTACCTGCACCATCTCCAACCTCATTGTCGGCAACGCTTACTCCTTCCGGGTCTTCTCAGAAAACCAGTGTGGACTCAGCGCCTCCGCCGCTGTCACCAAGGAGTTCGCCCACATCCAGAAGGCAGGTGGGTCTGGGCCTTGACCAGAAGCGGAGCCAGGACTGCCCACCTCTCTGTCCGGCCCGCTTTCCAGGAACTTGTGCTGCGCTCCCCACACCCACTCCACAGCTCTGCACGCAGGCGCACTCACACACTCACGCGGGAACCTAATGGATGTGGCAGATGGATTTCCACAAACCATTAGCTGAGTGGCGTCCCTCGGGAGGGAGGCCGGGCACCTATTCTAAAGATGCTGCCCAGCTACCCACACTATTGCTCACTGGGTCTCATGCACCAGGTACTTGGGGACAGGTCGACTTTGGTGAACTTGCTAAAATCCCGAGCCTCCAGGCTCTACTAGAACACCACACAGATGGACAGAGAGATACGGGTATTTACTGTTTGCACAGACACCTGACGGGCCCTCCTGCATCATAGGTTAACTCCTAGCCTTCCACATCACCCTGCATGCTCTCAGGCCCTCCCCCACTCAGACTCTGGGTGGGCTCAGGAAGGCACATTCTTTTTAACACCGGTCTGGGTTGCACAGAATTAAGGAGAAAATGTTGTTTAAAAAAGAAAAGCCAGCGATGTCTCCAAAGACAAACAGAAATTAAATATGGGATCTCTGTGGTGCTGGTCTCCATGCTCTGCCAAGACCACTTCATCTCCCTGGTTCTCCTACCCCTTCCTCTCTCTGGTCCTCCTGCCCCCTCCTCTCTCAGCTCAATGGCCTGACCTACCTCGGTGGCTCGCTATCTGTTGATGACTGGCAGCTGCAGTCACTGAGCTGTAAACTATAGAGATTACTTTAGGAGAATGGATGAGCTTAGTTCTAAAAGGTCTTCTCAGTTCCTGTAGCTTCAAATTCACTCTTTGACCCCACTTTCTCCCCTGAACCCAGATACTGGAGCCAAATCTAAAGAATTTACTGAGCGAGACTTTTCAGAAGCTCCTTCGTTCACCCAGCCCCTGGCAGACCACACCTCCACCCCTGGCTACAGCACTCAGCTGTTCTGCAGTGTCCGAGCATCTCCCAAGGTAAGGGGGCCAGGCTCTATATGTCCTGGTTGGTGAGGGTCAGTGGAGATACCGAATTGAGGAATCCTCCGAGACACATCCACCTAAATCTGAGGCTGCCTTCAAGCGTCCAGCCCCAGCCCCCAATCTTCTCAGTTCTCCTTTACATTCTCTTAGCCTAAGATCATCTGGATGAAAAACAAGATGGACATCCAGGGAGACCCCAAATACCGTGCCCTCTCAGATCAAGGCATCTGCACTCTGGAGATTCGCAAGCCCAGCCCCTTCGATTCCGGCGTCTACACCTGCAAGGCTATCAATGGGCTAGGGGAGGCATCTGTGGACTGCAAGCTGGAGGTCAAAGGTGACGGCTGGAGGAGGGTTACTTCTTAGGGACCCTTCCATAGTCATCACTTCTTGGAAGGAGGACTAGACAGGGCTGAGCATGGAAAACCAAGGCAGGACAGCCTGACTAGTAAAGATGGAGGTTAGGCTACCCAAAGGACTTCCAAGTGGGGGTGTGGCTCAGTGTGGGAAGGAGGCAGTGGAGTCAGCCATGGGGACTGATTCATGGCCTGGGGGAGGGTATGACATCTGGACCCTGTCTCATTCCCCCTACCCTGCCTGAAGGCCCGAGCTCTAACCTAGAGGATCTCTTACAGCATCCGCCACACACTGAAGAATGACTGGAGGTGACAACTTTGATGAGGAGAAAGGTGCGTGGCTGGACCACTATCTCTGAGGGCAATACTAAGGCAGAAAGGAAGCCCGAGAGCAGGGAGCATGGGAAGGCAGGGTAGTCTGATCCAAGTACATATCACAGTCAACACACATGCAGCTCTAGGGGTGCCCCAGAGACATGCAAGGATGTTGCCAGGACAGCAACCCTGATGAGACTTGGAAGGAAGGTGAACCTGGTGGGTGGTTTTGAGATAGGGATCTAGTCTTCGCTCTACGTAACCTGGGATGAGGGCTTTCTTTTTGGACTCATTTCTTCATTAAAAAAGGGGACAGCCATCCCTGCCTGCCTCTCCTCCCTGAGACTCTGAGTTTCTGGAAAAAGTAAGGCAGCTCCTGCCTGGGCACCAGGACCTAGGAAGGGAAGAGGGGCCACTCTTGCTTCTCCTCCTCGGCACCTTTTCCAGTGCATGTTCTCTGCCAGGTGCTGCAGGCCTGAGGGACCCAGCCTCTGAGACTCAGATGCCCACCATGTCCATTTCTATGGCTGATGGAACGAGACTCCCTGTACCAGCCTGGCCTCCTCTCCCACAGGCTGGAGCCAGAACCCAGGGGTGGGCCTGGAACGTGACCCTACAGAGGGCTGCGTGCTGGTGAGAATGGCTCCAATAAAGGTGTGTGGTGTATAGTGTGGGGCCTCTGTGACCGGGACGTCACTGTGAGGGGCTGCTCAAATGTGTCACCCTGAGGAAGGGGCCTCAGATGTCAAAAGGGTTTTCCTAACATGCTACGATTTTTCAGGATCTTGCCACCCTGAGTGCATCACTATAGGACCAGGTACCCCTCTGCAGCTCCAAATACCTCCATATCCCTCCATCCCTAGCATCTCCCCTCCCCAACACAGCTAATTCTCTGCCAAGACCATTGTGTTTTCCTCCAACAGTGGGTAGGGGGTAGCCAGCAGCGTGCTCTCCTTGAAGGTTCACAGTCTTTTATTAATTATATGACCCACCCAGGGAGCCAGGGGCGACCCCAGCTCTGAGAGAGGGAAAACAAACTCACTGTTGTCTGGTGATTCGGATTCATAGAGACACTATAGGACAGAGTAGAACTGCCCCATTGGGTTTCCTAGACTGTCATCTTTATAGAAGCAGCTGGTGGGTTCAAACTGCCAACCCTTCCATTAGCAACTGAGTGCTTAACCGCTGGGCCACCAGGGTTCCTTCTGAGAGAGGAGAGGACCTGGAATTCGCACTCAGAACCCACCCAACGTGACAACATGCCCCACCCCCTTCTCTATACTGGAGGCTTGGGCTTACAGGGGGTGGGCTGATTCTCCCTCAGATGTCCTAAAGGCAACAGCTCTTCAGAAGACCCTGAAAACTGTGTGAAATGCCAGCAGGACCACCACCCTCACTCCCAGTAATGGTATCCCCTGGCCTGGACTAGTCTATAACACCTCGTCTCAAGGGCAGACCCTTCCCCCTGGAGAACCTTCTTCCTCAAGCAGGCAAAGTGTTCCCAAGATCAGCAGACTCCCCTCCATCTGGCCAGAGGAAGCAGAAACAGATGTCCCTAGGAGAGTCCAGGCCCACCGTTGTCAGCCTAGTGGAGCTGAGATGGCAGTTATTACACTGCAGGCGCCTTCTTGGGACACTTGGTCCAGGAGCAGGGCTCAGTGCTGCCGCCTGGTGGCTGTTTGAGGCCTGCATCCACCGCTCCACACTCCCCAGAGAACTAAAGGACAAATCTTCCAGGCACCACTCCAAGAATCCCTCAGGTTCCAAGACCTCAAGAAGCATAAAGCAAATGTTGGCAATAATTTCTGGACCCCCTCTTTCTTCCACTCTTTAGTCTAATCCTGGCTCCCCCAGGTTGAAGAGAACAGGTACCTGGCCGGACAGGGAGCTGTGTCCTTGGAAGTGGGGATTGAATTCCTTGTCTCCTGCCCCTTAGCTGCTTCTGACCACCTTCTCCTACAGAACAAGGGAGGAAGCAAGACCCAAACCGCCAGCATGTCCCTCCATCTTGGGCAAAGTCCTCTCTTTAAGCTTGATCCCAGGGTTACACTACCCTCTCCCTACCCAGATGACTCCTCTGCAGCCTCAGTCTCCCCAGGACCTGCCTGGCCCTGAAGCCCTGGACTCTTCATGGGTCAGACAGGTGGGGAGGCTCACACCACTTTCCTCCTCCCCTTAGAGTGCCTGGCTCCCTCCCCAGACCCAGACATGCAGCTCAATTAACTCTTTGTGGAGGGACCCCCTGCTCCATGGTTGTTTCTTCAGCACCCTCACCCCACAGCCCAACTGGGGAAGGCGCAGGGAGACAAGTGGGAGAATAGTTGAGACTTGGTGGATGTGGGGCTGGTGGGGTCAGGGGATAGTCTAGTCTCCAGGCCTCTCTTCAGGGAGGCCTTCCTCCTCAATGGGGGGTGCAGACTGGCAGCGGAAATGGTCGTTATAAATCTTAAGAAAGGTGACCCGGAACTTTTGGATGCGGAAGGCGTAGACGATGGGGTTCATGGCCGAGTTGCTGTGTGTGAGGAAGATGGCGATGTACGTGAGGATGCTGGGCTTGCGGCAGGAGGGGCAGAAGAGAGTGACGCAGTTCAGGATATGCAGTGGCAGCCAGCTGATAGCAAAGAGGAAGAGGATGAGGGCCAGTGACTTGGCAATCTTCAGCTCCTTCCCATAATACTTCTGCGGGTCTCCAGAGGAGGCCGACACTTTCTTGTTGAGCTGCTTGCGGATCAGGTAGAAGACCTCCAGGTAGATGAGGACCATGAGGAGCAGCGGGGGCAGTACCCAGATGAAAAAGTTGAAGTAGACCATGTACTGCATGCTGATGACCTTCTCAAACTCACACTTGACGACAGGTTCACCCACACTGCCGTTGGCCACCCAGTCCTGTTTCACCGTGCTTAGGTTGTTCCAGCCGAACATAGGGGTGAAACCTACCACAAAGGAGAGGATCCAGCAGCCGGCAATGGCCACCACGGCCCTGCGGGGGGTCACCACCGTCTTGTACCTGAAGGAGAGGATAGCAGAGTGAGAGCAGTTCCCCAGGAGGCCCTCCACACCCAGTGTCCTGTGAGTGGGGAGCCGCAGGTCTTTCCTAGGAGGTCAGAGTCTTCCGAGCTTGCAATACATGGCGTCTCTCCTGCAGAGGAAGGAAGCTTGGTTAGGGATAGCAACAACCATGACAGAAAAGAACAAGGCCCTCCTGTAGGAGTTTTCATAAAGATTCAAAAACCAGTTGCCACAGAATCAACTCTGACTCATGGCGACCCATGTGTGTCAGAGTAGAGCTGTGCGACATGGGGTTTTCAGTGGCTGATTTCTCAGAAGTAGATCACCAGGCCTTTCTTCTGAGGTATCTTGGGGTGACTTTGAACTGCCAGTCTTCGAATTAGCAGTTGATGGACTCAACCCGGGACTCCTAAATAAAGATTACCAAATCAAAAATTGCTCACAGGTGTTGGTCCCATCCTTCCTAAATGTCTCATCATCACTTCACGGCAGCCTTCATGGAGTAGGAAAGCACTGGCAGAATGACTGCCCATTTCACAGATGAGGAAATTGAGGTTCAAAACAGTTAAGTGATTTTCCCAAGACCCATAGAAGGTGCTTCCTAACACACATCTATTGTTGAGTGTTGTTAAGTCAGTTCTGACACATAGTGACTCTGTAGAGGGTTTCTGAGGAGCTGCTGGTATGTTTGAACCACCGTCCTTGAGGTTAGCAGTCAGGTTCTTATCCTACAGTGCCACACCAGGACTCCAAACACATCTATACTGACGCAAATATCCAGGTGATTAATAACCACCCCTCCCCTTGGGTCGACTGATTCAACCGTCATAACCTGCCTATGCCTCCCCTTCTTTTGGCCCTGGCCCATAGTCCACTGGCACTGGCCCACCACCACCTCCATCTTTGTCCTCCTAGTCACTGTCCAGTGTGTAGCTCCTAAGGGGCTGATGTCAAGGATGTTAGGCACCAGCTCTGCAATCCTAAACAACTGAGCATAATTCTCAGGAAATGGAGCAAATACTACATGGTCTCATTCATTCATTCACTCATGCGTGCATTCATTCTGCAAACATAGTGCTTTCCTTGCCAGCCTTTTGCTCTCTGTGTCTAGAATAAGATAAAAGACCCCTGCATTTATGTAGTGTTAGTTTGGTTGAAGAGACATATAGCACTTTAAAAAGAAAGGAAATAGATAAACCAGGCAATTAGATTGTGATGTGTGCTTTGAAAGAAATAAACAAGAGCTGTCAAGGAATAGAAAGGACTGGCTATGGGGTTAGGTCCTGCCTGCCTCCCTTTTGCCCCCACTGACAGTGGAAGGTTTCAGCATCTCTGAACTCTCCACTTCCCTCAAAGCAGCCTACAGCCACTGTGTCCTCTTCCCACACACTTCCTTGGTGCAAGTGCCCAGGTTGGGGCCCGCCCAGCTCTGCTGAGGTGCTAGCTCAGAGAAAGCAGCCTGCCCAGTTGTTTTTTTCCAATGCAACTTCTGAGATGGATGGGGCATGCTCCTGAGCATGTAAACAGCTCCTGAGGCAAAGGGTGCACAAGGGGAGGTCCAGCTCACCACTGTTCTGACCACAAGCAGGATCTGCGGGTTTCTCCTTCACTTCGATGACACTTTTAAGGGTCCTCTCATCCTGGACCCCTCCATCAAAGTTCACCCTTTCCATGAAGACTTCACAGGAGAGGGAGAAAGGTAGCCATCTTCCGACCCACCCCATCTAGAAGACAAGTACTAGAAGGGACCTTGGAAACCTCATTTCTAATCTCTTCATCATTCCACCAAGAAACTGATGACCCCAGCTGACTCCAACCCCTTCTGTGTGGTGCTCCTCCCCCACTCATGGTCACAGAATCCTTGTGTTACCAAACCCAAGGAGACTTGAAAGCTGGCCAGTTCACTTGGGCCTCGCTGGACTTCTTTCTTCAATATAAGCATTCTCACCCTCTTACTGTGACTGAGGCCCATTTTGTATTGTGCATCCTCTGCCTCTTACTGTGACTGAGGCCCATTTTGTATTGTGCATCCTCTGCAGGATGACCAGGGCCTGGGGGAGTCTGAGTGGCACAAGAGGTTTGTGATAGGCTGCTAACCTAAAGACTGGCAGTTCAAACCCAGCCAGCCAAGAAAGCTCCACTGAGCAGTTCTAGTCTGCAACACTGAGGTTGCCATGGGTCAGAATCAAATGGACAGCAGTGGATTCAGGTCCTTTGGTACATACACTGCCAGCCAGAAGACCTAGATTTAGGCTCCACGTCTGCAGCCTACTAGATGAATTTCTTCTCTATAAAACAAGAGTGAGACTTGCTTCAGAGGGTGAGGATCAAATAAGATAGCTGATGGTAAAACGTTCTCTAAGTGCCCTACTGATGTTGTTACGTACCATTGGGTCAATTCTGACACTTAGTGGCCCCAGGTAACAGAGTGGAACCGCCCCTCAGGGTTTCCTAGGCTTTATAGGATCACCAGGTCTTTCTCTCACAGAGCTGCTCGGTGAGTTTGAATCACCAACTTTCAGGTTAGCAACAAAGCACTTAGTCATTGCAACACCAGGGATACTACCAATATAGTTTGTCTTTTGCCTGAGCTCTTAGCTCTTCAAGCCCCTAGAAAAACTCATGCCTGAGAAAATGCCAGTATTTCCAGATCCTCAGTATTTCCAGATCCTGAGAAAATGCCAGTATTTCCAGAAAATGCCAGTATTTCCAGATCCCCTAGAAAAACTCATGCCTGAGAAAATGCCAGTATTTCCAGATCCTCAGCAAATACAGCCTAATGCTATTAACACCTCTTGCTTAGGTCTTGTTCCTGATGATTTTACTTGTCCTCTCAGATAAAAGCAGTTCTGGGTGTGAGTCTATAGGGAAAGGCCAAAGGAACATACATCATTCTGTGGAGAGAGCAGAAGGATGAGGGGCTCAGTGTCCAAGGGGGAGGGTGGGGCCAGGCCCCAGGTCACATGGCTACAGTTGCAAAAGGAAGGAGGCCAGCCACCCCTCCCTATTACTGCCCATCACTGCTATGTTTGTTTCCCATTTAGTGTTTGCAGACCTCTTCACCTTCAGGTCTTAGGTCATCTTGTAACCAGCCCGTGAGGGAAGAACTAGGATAATGGAATTTCACAGATGAGAAATTCGAGGTCCAGAAATGGGTATGAACTTGCCTGAATCTCCTGATTCCAAAACCAGTCCACCAGGCTGCCTGTGGGTTGTTTAGATGTGGGGATGACTGGCAGACTGAAGAGCATGGCTTTGGGGGATAAAGCTCTAGAACGCAAGATCAGTTTGAACCACAAGGCTGGGGACTCAAACCCACCAGCCACTCCTCGGAAACCCTATACAGGGTTGCTGTGGGTTGGAACCAACTTGACAGCACTTAACAACAATAACAACAAAAGCTTTAAGGAGCTCTGGTGTTGTAGGGGTGAGTTAAGTGTTGGTCTGCTAACCACAAGGTTGGTGGTTCAAACCCACCATCCACTCCTGGGGAGAGAGATGAGGCTGTCTGCTCCCATAAAGATTTAGTTTCAGAAACCCAATGGGGTGATTCTACTCTGTCCCATTGGGTCACTATGAGTTGGAATAAGGGCCTGATATTAGTGGTTTGAAGAGCTTTAAAATCAAAACATCCAAGCCCTTTTCAACAAGGAAAAACAGAGACAAGGAAAAACAGATAACATCTGGCCCTGTTGTCCAGTCTGAGGACTTACATCTGGGCAACAATGACCTACTGAGCGAGGAGCTGGACACTGACCATCCCAGGTGGTCAGAGGGAAGAGGTGACTTGCAGTGAGAGGTGTTTTCCTCCTCAGCCCATCTCCTCCCCCCTCGCCTTCCTGTCTGCCTGGAGCCCCAGGGTTAAAGCTTTCCTGGGGCTCCTCCAGGACCAGGTCCCAGCAGACCTTGGGGCTTAGGGTATCAGTTCTCATCTGTTTTTCTTGCTATTTTCTCCTTGGTGGGAAAGGACTGGACTCAGGACCTTGACTGAGGTAGGGCAGGCTCTCACAGGAAGGGTGGCCTCCCAGGACCAGGGGAGAAACTTCCTTCTCCTTACATGTGGGAAAGAGAAGCAGAGGCTACAATTCTGGGGCACACATAGGGTAGGCGATGTTGAATGTACCTCCAACACTTGAGGTTGTCACCTGTAAGTCAGGATCTAGGGTCTCACCACCCCCAGAGCTGTGCTGAGGACTAGCAGAGAGATGGCTGCTTAAGACAGAAGAAGAGCAACAGAATGGGGTACTCAAACAGCACAGGGGACCCATCCACAGGGCAAGGAGGGCAGGCAGCTACTCAAAGATGTAGTGAGTCATTCAGTTGGGGTAAGAACATGCCCTCACAATAACGGCAGTCTGACTGATTACTACAAGAACAAGTAAGTTGCTTGCCCAGGAGACATCAAGGCAAGTGGCTGGGTTCCCTCAGGGCAAACCCTCTTCCAAGACTCAGACTCAATGGGAATACATGAGCAGACATGCGCTCTGATTGGTGACCATGCTCGTCACTGATAAGGAGAAGTGAGGGAAAAACAGCAATGAAGCTGCAAGCTAAGCCTCCTGTGAACCCAGGTGGAGACCTGGTTGGCCAGCAGTGTGGCAAGACCTGGGGACTCTTGGGCCCAGAGTCAGTGACATAGCCACAGAGGACTAGAGTGGAGAGTGAAGCGTCCAGCTGATAAGAAGAGAGGGCATATGCATAAGAACACCCACACTTGCAGATAATACCCACTTGACCTGGCTTCAATGACTGGATGATCAGAGCTCAACTAGAAGAAGAAAGAAGAGGAAAAAAAGAAGAATCTGATACAATTTGATGAACTTGACCTACACCTATGGATGCAGTAGCTCAAAAGAGGGAACAAATCTTTATAGCAAGGATCATTCCCACCCCCTCCATACACAGAGTAGATAGGGATGGGCAATTTGGACATTGGATACCCAAAATGGGGGTGGGGGTGGGGGTGGGGGATGGGGAGATACAAAGGAAAGAAGTAAC